GTTCAATGTTGCAAAAACTATAGGGTCATAAAACTACTTAGTCATATCATAAAAGCATAAAAGAGAGTAATGTTTAGATAATTACGAGAAGAAACCAAAATATCCGAAAATGGATTTATGCAATTATTAGACTATAATGTGATACGAATATCTGAGTAAGAAAAGATTAAGAGAGATATTAATGAGATTAAGTATTTATGAGAAGTAGTCACTGTTAGATCAGGCATGGAAAAAAATAATATAGACTATATCGGGATAAGATGGTAAAATCTGAACTTGACTGGATTTTTATTTGAGATTCAGCACTTAGAAGAACATATTTATAAATCCCTTTAGCCAAATCTTTAGCTCCCTAGGTGGACTTTGGGGTCCCCTTCGCAAAAAATTTGTTTTTCTCGAAAAAAAAAAATTACTGAGCGTTTATTTGCTTTAAAAAATCTGAAAAAATTCACAATTATAAATTTTAATGTCCAAAAACACTCTGATTTTTCACATTTTTTTTAACCAAAATTGAGCTCATGAAAAATATTTGAATTTTTTTGGTTATGAAGGTAATCTTTGACAAACTTCTCAACTTTTTATTTTCTTAGCAATGCAAGTTATAAATAAAAAATTATGAGACCAGCAAAAATACTTTTAGACTTATTTATCACATCAGATACTGACCCCGTAATAAACGAAGATAGTGACGAAGAATAAAACTATTGTGATTTCGAATACTTCTTACTACATATTTTGTAATTTTATAATATGTAATTATTATTAATAGAAATTGAAAAAAGGTTAAATATGAAATTAAATATAATTATTTCATTAATTTAATCCATAAATAATAATATTTTAATGATAATGGTGACTCGAATAAAGAGGGGGAAACAAAAATCGATATTTGTGACATTTAAATAAGGTTATTTACTTAGAATACGTAAAAAATTTCGGAAAACTGCAGTTTTTTTGAATTTAGAGTACCTATATTTCAGTGTGGAAAGAGCCAATTTGACTTTGTTATTAGAGAAAATCGGAAAAATAGATGAAAAATCTGTATTAATTTACATACAGTTGAGGTTATGTGGAAAAAAATCAAAAAATGAAGTTTTCGTATTTTAAGCATGTTCTGGTCTAAAAATGGCAAACCTGATCGGTCTAATACAAATGAAAAAAAATATATCTAAAATCCTTATTTATTGACATAAAGTTAAGATTATATGCTAAAACTATGGAAAAACACCAAAAAAAAGCTTTTTCGAATTTTAAGGATTTTCCGAAAATAAAAAAATCTAACTCTACCATTCAAAATAATGGAAAAATACACGATAAATAATTATTTAGAATTTAGCCAAAAATTATCTACATGTCCTAAAAATTATTTGAAAACTTCAAATATTTTTCCTGAGCTCAATTTTGATCCAAAAAATCTGAAAAAATCATAGTGTTTTTAGACATGAAAATGTTAAAATAATAATCGCCACTCGAATAAAGATGGGAGTAAAAATAAAAATAATTATTTGTCACTTTTAAATGAGTTATGTGCTTAAAACATAGGCAATGGGTTTTTTTTTTAATTTTGAGAATTTTCCGGTGCGAAAGTGTAAAATCTAACCCTTCCATTCAAATGATCAAACGAAAATACACAAAAAATAATCATTTATAGGTTTGCCAAAAATTACCTGCATAATCTAAAAGTTTTTGAAAAATTCAAATATTTTTCCTGGGCTCAATTTTGATCCAGAAAATCTGACAAAAACCAGAGGGTTTTTTTTCGAAAAACACATTTTTTGCCATAAGGGACCCCAGGGGCCATCTAGGGATCTTAAAATTTAGCTAAAGGGATTTCTAAATATGTACGTTCAAGTGCCCAACCCCAGATAAAAATCCAACCGAGTGCAGAGATTACTTTCTTATCTCGCTATAGCCTTTCATGTAAAAGTAGTATTGCGTGCGCTGTTAGTACTGAGTTCTTATTTATTATTATTATTAGTATTGGATCAGATAACAGCGTTGTAGCGGGATAGATGAAATAGAGGAGGCAGGTGGTATGTTGTATGTGATAGAAAGATTCCAATGTTTTTAAGGATAATTGCGGACTAAATAACAGAGCAAACGATTAGAATTAGATTATGGATTAGATTAGAGAATTGGGTTAGGATTAGAAAGATTAGAAGACGGTTAGGGAAAATTCAATGCCGAAATAAAATTTACCCAATATGAGTCGATGAGTTGCAAGTTTTTTAAAAGAAATAAGAGGAAGGCCTTAAAAGGCCTGGTGGAAGACTTTTAAGCAAGAAATGTCGTTGAAAGAATTCATTGTTAAATGAAATATACATAGACGGTTGCGATTCGATTCAATTCAAGCCTGTCACCATTCTCTTCTACGGTATTTTAAAGTCTATCTATCATCAGGAAGACTTATGAGAAGTCTGAACTGGATCGAAACGTACCGTGTATTTGGCAAATATAGTAAAACAATATACCAAAGTATCCAATTAACGACGTCTAACAAGGAAAAATAAAGTGGGTGTCGAAAGTGATTATAGTAAGCTGTAAAACGTAGTTAATTAAGCTGTTGGACGACGCCGACGTTAGGAATATTTATATTCTACTAATATTACAAGATTACACTGCAGGTTTACTAGGTTCATAACAAAATTAGGAGAATTTATTTATAAGAGGTTGTCATTCAAAAGGTGGCTGCAAATATTTTTATTCAATGGATAGTAATGATTTTTGAACAAAAATTTTATTTCGTTCATTTATTTTTTATAATAACGAATATGCATGTTAGTTATATCAAATTAGAACAATTTTTTTTCTTAATATGATGATATAAGGCTGCTTGAGAAAAAATTGTCGCAAATTGGAATTGTTACAAACGCGAGTTATCAAACATAAAGTAAAATAGAGTTAGCGCCCAACGACAGTGGTTTGACAAGTGATAATGTGTATTGTAACGAATATATTTTGCCTACCACATGGGGTATTAATACAAGGGGTAGAAAATTCGGGACTGAAACTAAGGGGGTGAAGATAAGGCAAGTAAAATAATCGCTACTTGTGCGAACGGCACTTAGGGTTTGTTACGAGAGCTGGGGTCGTGAATAAGTAAAAGATAAGGGGGTTGGATTCGGGCAACTACAAAAAAAAATGAAATAAGAAGTCATGAATTTCTTGGGATAAACAAAGCAAAAAGAAACAGGAAACACCTCTAGTAATTTAATATAGGGTGCCCCTTTGAGGTGCCTAATCATACCTACTACAACCACTAGTTGTAACTAGGGAAATAATTATTAAACATAAAAAACATATCTTTTTCAAATAAAACTCAAAAAAGGTTAGTTCAAAAAAATAAACAAAATGTTAAGAAAACAAAATTTAACATTTATTGTGTCTTACCACAAACAGTTACAAAACATAGAGAATACAAGAATACTCAAAAAAGACAATACAAAAATACTACCTCAACAGTCGCAAAATACAAAATTACAAAAAACTTGTCATCCATTTACAAACTCAGAGAGGAGTTGGACAGAGACAGGAGTTACAAATGTTACCGCACAGAAGTTAACCTTCTTTTTAACAGACAAAACAAATGAAAATCAAAAATAATAAAGCTAGCTGTCATATGTTAACATTAAATTTTAAAAAACTGAAAACAAATAAAATAACAGCTAAAATCAAAACCCAAAATTTACATTATTAAATATTACTATTTTTAAACTTTAACGAAAGCAATTATTTATTTAAAAAATTGTCTGTCTTTACTTTAAAATTTGATCAAAAAGTTGGACCTGGATTTTTCACTAACAAACTGCACTAAAATTTGTGGAACCAGACGCCACTGGAACCTCTGAAACCATAGCTGGAACTGGGGGCTTCACTCTTTCTGCGTAATGAACAACTCCATCTCCAAACTGCCAAAAAGCCTTGGATGACAAACAGGGAAAGACAAAACGAGGATGGAAACGACGATTCTTGCAATCCTCACTCAAAACATTAATTAAAGCATTAACTGCCACAAAACTTCTTTTCACTGCTACATATTTCCATAAAGAGACAAACAGAAAACCACAAATTCGACGAATGAATTTGGATCCGTAATTGAGCCTACAACGACGCAAGTAAGAATCTATTTGGATCCATACCTAAGCCTACAGGCGACACAAGTAAGAATGACGAAATTCTCTTAAGAATTCGTTCACAACTTGAAATAACAAACACTTGACAGGAATTAAAACGCAAATTTTCTCCAACGCAGTACATCGGGCGGCTTAAATCAAAGAAATATTGACAGAAAAATCGCAGCTGCGAATTAAATAAACAACTCTAAAATGGTTTACATTAACATCCAGCAATGCAAATAAAATTATTGAAAACACTTTTGGGTATTTTAACTTGAAAGATACGAACTAACAAACATGGAAAAAATTCTTCGTTTTTTTTTAACATATATGAGGGGATTTCAATATATTACATATACGAGGGAATTTCAATACATTTTAAAAAATCAATGAATTGCAAATGCTACAGTATATTATTATATATCTATCAACACATAATCTAACAACTCACACAATTGACACTTCAAACCAGGAGCGCTTCGCGCTAGCTGTCTTTTATTTTATCTTTGATACCTTGTGTTTTTAAGAGCTGGCAATAATAATTTGCTACCGTTTTTCTCAAGCAACCATATAATAAAATTTTTGTTTAAAAATTAATAACTAATAATTGAATTAAAAATATTTGCGGCCATTTTTTGACTGACAACCTGTAATCGATGTATTCTCTTAATTTTAAATGTATGTAAAAATGTGAGTTTGATTAATTACGTTATAAACGTAGTGCTCATAGTGAACATATCTACAATTTGCCAGATAGTAAGAACAATACGTTCTTGCTCGATGAAGAGTACAAAAATGATGATGATTTCTATGGGTAAATTGTAAAGAAAATAATGATGAATCTTTTAGAAAGTTGTAGCATAAATAACGAAATGTAAAACTTACCTACTAATTGAAAGCTTATGAATGACAGAACCAGCGGAATTTCCACAGTTAACTTAATATTCCAGACCATGGTTAAACTCTGAAAGAAAAGAATTGTCAATCTGCACAATTATTACATAATATGTAATTCTATAGGTAAGAGACAGCAGAAAGAGAAAAATACTTAGGTATATGGTGCATCGTTTGCTGTATATAAACATTTGACCTGTAATAGTCATAATAGTAATAGTAATAATAAATCAATATTTTAATAAAAACATATATTTTTATTTTTATATATGTACAAAAGGAGTTGAGTGCAAAAAAATTTTACGCATACTCTGCAGTAAAATTCATTGTTAATTTTTTTATTAATATAAAAATACAATACAAAACATTGCAACATAATTCAATATAATAATGCAATACAAATTAAAATGCAATATTCATAAGTATTTAAAAATGGCAATATACATAACTTACTTACGCATATGTTTAATTTACCATGATAATATTATTAATAAAAAAATAATATTAATAAAAATTAAACATATTTACAAAAGGAACATTTTTATTCTTGAGAGAGAAAGAGAGGAAGAAAATATATCTTCTGTCTCTCTCTTACCTATATCTTACATATGTAATGATTTTGCCGATTCACTCCCGTACAAATTTCCAACGTCGAACGCGCGTATAGAAGGATAACTTCAAGAAATGTTTGTGGAAGATAAAAATAAAAAACCAACAACTCGGATTATGTTGTAAATTATTATTTTATTTTAAAATTTAGCATTTTTGCGTATATTACATATATTTAATAAGATTACGTGGGTATTTTTAAATATTTCAAAAATTAAAAAAGAAAATTTATATTGGGATTTGAAGTTTGCTAATTAGACATGACACTGACTTATTTCAAAATTGACAGTTCTCGGTCATACAGTGATTTATTGTAATTATTATTTTAAAATACAAAAGCCTAAACTAATTATGAACATTTAATAAATAATTCAAAACATATCATTTATTATTAAAATAAAAATAAAAAACTTTTTTTGAAGTAAATTTGGTTGCCTATTTAGATGGTGCACTTAAATATATTCATAACATTATAATTATTAAAATAACCAAATACATTGCAAAATAAAAACTATTTGAACTTATTATTATGCTAATTTCTTAAGAATACCCTCATATAAATACTTTTAATAATATTCTCTAGTCTAGAACTTATAAATTATTTCTTTAATCACTATTTAAGTTCAATTTAGAGAACCTTCGTTTATCCTATATTTAATATTATCTCAATATATATATATAATATAATATTAAATATATATACAAAAGGAAAATTTTTATTCTCGAGAGAGAAAATATATCTTCTGTCTCTTCCTTACTCATATCTTACATATGTAATGATTTCACCGATTCACTCCCGTGAAAATTTCCAATGTCGAATAGTAATTTTTAAAGTATAACTTTAAAAATAAATAAAAAAAATATGGTATGCAACATGTAGTTTTATGTGAACATACTACGTTTCTACAAAAACAATATTTTTGTGAGTAGTAAAACGCAGTGTACTTGTACTGTAGTGTTGTATACCAGTGATCTTTCTATTACTCCGATGGATGCATAGCCACGTTTGCAGATGATGCAGATGTTTATTCCTCACACGAAGATAAAATTAGGTATCAAGACAACTACAAACCTTTCATAACAAAGGACTTGTTAACCAGTACAATTAACAAACAATTTATCCCAAGCTGAAGATATAAAATACTTAGCTGGCTAAAATATATATTTCGATCATCATCGGAAAATCTAAATTTTTTCTCTAGAAACAAACTGCTGGTCTACAATTTTTAAGCCTATTTGGACCTATGGTGTCCAACTCTGGAGAGCCGCTTCTCATAGCCAATATGATAATATAATATCGAGATTTCAAAATAAGACAATAATACTAATTTTTGATCTATCCATTTATCTATACAGCCCTTGCTGTCTAATTTTGGACATAGGCCTCCTTTTTCTTCTTCCACGTATCTCTATTGTAGGCAGTTTGTATCCACTTCGGGCTTGCGTGTTTCTTTAAGTCATCAGATTATCTCATTTGTGGCCTTCCTCTTTTTCGTTTGTAAATATATGGTTACAGAGAAGAGAAGAATAAAAAAGGAACTCAAATTAGCCAAAGAAAAATGGATGAGAGAAAGGTGCGACGAAATGGAGGATGTAATATCTAAACACGACTTATTTAATGTGCACAAAAAACTGAAAGAAATGAGTAATATATTTAAAAAAACGTTCCCTATGTACTTGTTGACACTAATAACAAAATTATTGTAAATAAGCAAGAAATAAGAAAAGAATGACAGCTGTATATATCAGAGTTGTTTAAAGATGACAGGAATAATATTGCCGAATTCTACCAAAACTGTACTGACGGCCCAGAAATTATGAAATATGAAGTTGAATATGCTATAAATAATGCTAAAATTAGAAAAGCTTGTGGTCCAGATGATACACCAACTGAGTTGCTGAAACTAATAGGGAATGATAACATAAAAGTAGTAGTAAGACTTTTTAGTTCAATATATAACAGCGGAGTGATTCCCGCAGATTGGATCAAATCCATTTTTATCGCAATACCTAAAAAACAAAATACGATAAAATGCTCAGAATATCGATTAATTGCCTAATGAGCTCACAACAGAATTAGACGCAAATGCGAAGAAGATCTTGAAAATACCCAATTTGGTTTTAGAAATGCTATGGGAACCAGGGAGGCACTTTTTTCGCTTAACATCCTATTACAAAAATGCCGTGACCAAAGAAAAGATTTATTTGCATGTTTCGTGGACTTCGAAAAGGCATTCGATAAGGTACAGCATGTAAAATTAATGCAAATACTGAAAAATATCGAAATTAATGACAAGAATATTCGTGTCATTAAAAATTTGTATTGGAATCAAACTGCTATCGTAAAAATTGGAGATAACTACACCGACGAAATCCCCATACAACGAGGAGTCAGACAAGGTTGCATTTTGTCGATATGTCGTTGACTGTAATCAGCATCAACTAAAGCCACTGCCCTAGCAGCATCATTTGGAACGAGTGGCATTTTTAAAATCACAAACAATAAATAAGCACTAAAATTTCAACTTAAACAATATTCGCTCACAATGATATAAAATTACAATTTTAATTGTTAATTTTAATTTCAAACTTAATTTTAATTACAAATTGTTCAAGAATTGTTATTAACACGGAAACAGATTTGCAACAATGTCGTACAACGACAATATGTCAAAAATCCTTCGATGACATAAATTTAGGAAACAAACTGTCACAGGTAATGTAAACAAAACAGTAATAAAAGTGGTGGGGTTAATTAAACATGAAAAACATGGCTAGTTGTTAATAAACTACCTAACTTTTGTATTATCTAACATACGCGAATGAATCAAGACACAAAATGTTGAAAAAAACATCAGGCTATAGTTAGGTTTTAATTTCACTATTTTATAAATGCTAGAATACTCCACAGGGTGATGCAAACTTTAAGAAAAAAACACAGTTTAATTCGTACACCCGGTATTATTAGCAACCATATTATTATAACAATATTGTCAAGGAATAAGGCTATAAAACATTAAAAAAATAACTTAAATCCGACAACAGGTTTAGGAGATATAAGACATATACACAAGACGATACATTAAATATGTCGATATACATTAAATATATTTGATATCTATATACAACATTATGTATGTAAGTAATATGGACCACAACAAAATATTTAAAAACAAGAAATACATCTATTGATGTCTCAGCAATCGCTGTCAAGGTCAACCTTCAGTTCAAATTATGTTTTATGATGTGTTTATAAAAGTATTGAATTTCCTTTCCTATCTTTATTTCAATTTTTAGCTATTTGGACACGGTTTGTAGTTAAAAAAAGTAGGAAGAAAAATGGCACCACCCAAAAGCAGTGTTTGGTTATATTTTAAGAAAATTAATAAAGAACAATCTCGTTGCAATTTTTGCTCCAAAGTTTTAAAAACTATTAAAGGTTGAGTTTTAAAATTATTTAAAGGGATTTTAAGTGCATCTTTACTTTTAAATTTTGAATCAAACCGTACCCTTTTATTACTTAAGAATACATAGATATCTTGCATATATCGATATCTTCAATCGATGTATCATTGTAACATGTAATATCAATGTATAATTGTTTTGCCATTCCTAATCTTTGATTGGTTATTTCAAATATAACATTTCAAAAATACGCCAAGTAAAATGGGCTTTAAGTGAAACAGGATGAGGCAACAAAATGTATTGCTCCAAAAGACTGTTTTCTTATACTAAAACTGGCTGAAGTATTAACTACTATTAGGTCTGGAGAACAGTATCCAGGTAAAATATCACTTGACTGTGGGAAGCATCTAAAAGAGCAACTGATTGACTACGAGTACATATCGACGGAATGAATGCTTGGAGTCTAATAAAATCGTTGCCAAAACTATGTTTTTGTAGCCTAGATTTAAGAAAGTTGCATTTACATCAAATAAAATGCCAATGATGTCCAGAAATAGATAACGGAAGAGCTTACAAGTTTAATAAACATGGAAAAAGCTATTATGCCAAAAAATATGCTAGATGAAAATAATAGGTCAGGCATAAATCCAACAGATGGCTAAAATACATCATAAATACTTATTAACTAAACATAATTATGTTAATTAAATAATTAGTCTATTTTTGCAGATGTTGCTTTAAATATATCTGAAGTGTCAGAGCCTTCAACCAAACCACCTGCAGATATCTGAGTTTAATTTAACAATAAAATTGCTATTGTAAACTCTGTGACAACTCCAAATACTACAGCATTATTGTCAGTGAGATAACTTGCTACAGAACTTTTACTTCTCAGTAACATCATAAAGGCTAAGATCCTAAACCTATGGCGACAATCTATAGAAGTAGCTGCATTAAAACCATGAAAGGATCCAGAGGACCCAAAAAGCTGCCCCTATCTTTCGCCTGCGTTCAGCATTTAAGCTGTACGAAATATTGATATTGAATAGAATCAATCCACACATAGAAGAAAACCTTATAGAGGAATAGGCAGGCTTTAGAACAGGAAGGTCATGTATTTGCCAAATACTTAATCTTACCCATTGCATCGAATATGGATATCAAAGGAATTAAAGACCAGAGTCGTAAGCATTGATCTAACGGCCGCATATGATACCGTTAATAATCGAATGATCCCTAGGAATGGGGTGTATATTTAGTGTCACTCGATAATTATTTTGGTAAACTCTCTTAGATACAAAAAAAAAATTTAAAAAATTCAGTATTTAAAAACAAAGGTCTTCAATCAGTGTTTACTACTTCTTCCAACAATCATTCCTCAAACTCTCTTGTCATTACTAAACTAAACTAAAAACTAAAAAATAGAAAATCATACATCGAAAAATTCAGTAATATTTATAATTATATTATATTAAACCGTCAACAAAGAATTACAAAACATTAAAATCTTTTATAAGTAGCACTGATCATCCAATATTTTAACAATAAAATACAGAACATAAACATCAGAGGAACAATTAAAAGTACATACATTAACCCGGCGACTGTGTGGTGAAATTTTCTAACAGGAGCTGTGTGTTGGGGTAATTATCACCCCATTTTTTTTTTATTTATAAAATTGAGAAAATATTTTATTTTTACATGCAACCTTAAGATTTTAAATCATGGTTATATTGTTATATAATCTTTTTCAAAGTTAAATCATTTTAAAAATTTTCGTTAATAATTCAACGATTCAAAAAATATACTAAAATTTAGTTGATATTTAAACCACTACCACAATTTTTGTTAATAAAATTTTTATTAGAGATATAGAATAAAAAAAAACTACAAATTCTATAAAAAGTAACTATGATCTTTTGTTTAAAAAGCATAATTAACAATTATTTGCACATTTAGAACAAAAATATACACAATGTTCAAGACAAAGAAAAATGTCACATTTTACACATTTCTTTTGGCACTTTCTGTCCTTTCCACGGGGACACACTCCACATCTGGATGTTGTTCGTTGTTTCTTGTTTGAAGGTCCTTGAGAGTCCTCTCCGCTGTCATTTCTTTTTAGTTTCGCTCTTATGTCTGATGGTATTCTTTGATTATTACCTCTTTTTTCA